ACCACATGTACTCACCATCAAATTGGTATTAACTGATCAACACGTAAGTGCACATATGAGATAACATCTATTGGATGTTGGGAGGGCCAGGGGGGAGGGGGCAGTGGGGAGGAGGGAGGAGGGGACAGGTATATGCATACACAAAGAGTGCAATGCGCACCACCCAAAGGATGGACATATTTCAAACTCAGACTTGGTGGGGGGAGGGCAAGGGCAACACACGTAACCTAAACATCTGTACCCCCATAATATGCTGAAATAAAAAAATATATATATGCTTAATGAATGAACAAATGAACCAAATGAGATAGGTACTACTGTATCTTTTTACAGTGGGCGTTGGTAAGAGAGAGAACACTCACGTGTGTGTGTGTGTGTGTGTATGTGTGTGTGTGTCGGGCAAGGAATTATGAATATTAACTATAAATCACATTTTAAATTTCAAAATATATTCATTTTATATCAAAAATCTATGCTTATACTCTTCAAAGAGCATTTTACCTCAATAACATCAGTGTGTGTTTTTACTTCTGATGTTGTAACAGAAATTGCATGCGAGTTTGAATTATTAACAAGTTCTTCACAATCATTTGTCATCTTTCCAGTAGGAAAAAAGTTGTCCTCAACTGTTCTAGATTGGGAAGGAAAAAAATAATTTTTAAAAATCATATCTCGCTAATATTAAAAATATAAAGAACTACAACTCAACAACAAAATACAATCCAACTAATAAAATAGGCAAAGGACTTGACTAGACATTTCTCCAAAGAATATATACAAATGGACAGTAAGTACAAAAAAAGATATTTAACATCACTAATAGTCAGAGAAACGTAAATCAAAATCACAATGAGATAATATATTAACTCACACCCATTAAGATGGCCATTTTAAAAAAAAAACAAACAGCAAATAATAAATGTTGATGAGGATTGGAACCCTGGTGCATTACTGGCGGAAACTGAAATGGTGCAGCTACTGTGGAGAACAGTAGGGCAGTTCCTCAAGACAAATACAGAATTACCATGTGATCCAGCAATTGCAATTCTAGCTATGTACTCAAAAGAACAGAAAGCAGGGACCCAAACAGCATTATTCACAATAGCCAAAAGGTGAAAACAACCCAAATGTCCATCAATAGATAAGTGGATAAACAAAATGTGGTATATTCATGCAATGGAATATTATTCAGCTTTAAAAAGGAATGAAATTATGATACATAGTATAACATGGATGAACCTTGAAGACATTATGCTAAGTGAAATAAGTCAGACATAAAAGGACAAATATTGTATGATTCCATTTATATGAGGTACCTAGAACATGTAAATTTATAGAGACAGAAAGTATAACAGAAGTTGCCATGGCTAGAGGGTAATGAGTTTATACTCAATGAGTATAAAGCTTCCGTTTGGGGTAATGAAATGATGGAAAGTTATGGAAATGCATAGTGTTGATGGTTGCACAGCATTGTGAATGTATTTAATGCCACTGAATAGCACACTTAAAAATGGATAAAATTATAAATTTTATGTTATGTATAATTTACTATTATAAAAACCATGTCTCATTTCAGCAGGATGAGGAACAGCAGGAAGTAAAAAAATTTGAGTAGAAAACTAAAGCATTTTATGAAAAGTAATACATACTAATAGGAAAGTCACTAAAAAGTTGTGTTCTATTAATATATAGGTTAAAGTTCAGGTACTGGTTCAAACCAGTTATAAGTGATACAAGCTCTGTAGATTCAGTAATAATTAGAGAAACAGACTAGATTATCTTTAATATTCTTCAAAA